CAGCATAGTTAGCCCTTTAGACAGCAGAGCCTAGACAGGTTCCCCAAGTGACATAAGCTAGGCCAGCAAAAGCACTTGCATGCTGGGGAAGCTTCATCTACCTCAGGGCTTTTGCCAGGATAGCACTTAGGGGTGTGATTTGTAATGCCGTTGCTATACTGCTAAAAGCCCTAGTGTGGATGCAGCTATACAAGCCTAAAAGTGCTTTTGCTGGTAGATCTTATTTCACTCACTGAATCAGTATAAGCTGCACTTTTGTCTGGAATAAGCTGTTTTTACCCTCGGTGGGTTTGCTGGTATAGCTAAGCTGGCAAAGCTTTTCTAGTGTAGACCTGGCCAAACACTCCTTGCAAATCTGACACTAAATTAACAACCTTTGCACTTCCCCACAGCCTGCACACCGGATCCAAAAGGAATCTGTGCTCTCTCTACACTTTAGCACTCAAGCAGGGCTACGTCTAAGCTGATTAACTGCTCCACATGCCACCAGTGTCTCCGGCCAAATCTAGGTTCTAGACAGATTTGGCTGCATCTATTCACAAAGCAGCACCAGCCAGCTGGCTCCCTTTTGAATCTGGAGCGATGCTGCAACCTGACACCCAGGAAAATTCATCCACCTCCAGAACCACCATTTAAAAGAAAAAAAATTTTTCAACTTCCCCACTACTCACTCTGCAGGAGCTGCACTGCTTCTCATAAACAAGCATATGAATGAAACACCAGGCCTGCAGTTTGGTGACTGCCTTCACACCCCTCCATGCCAGAGCTGTTCCCCAAAGAGCCAGAACATCCTGAGGTGCAAGCTAGAGCAGGGCTGAGAACTGCTGTCACACTCAGAGGAGGACCCAGAGCCCACTGTCCCAACAGTCAGCTCCCTGCTGGTTTTAATTCCATGTGCAGTGCTCACATAAAGTGGAGAGAGAGGGAGAGATAATCACATCAAATAGGGAAATGCTCCAAAACTTTAGTCCTCCATCTCACACTTATGGTTTCAGCAGGACCATCTGTTAGGGAACTAATTTAGGGCCTGATCCTGCACAGAGGTCCACTGCTGCCCATCATCTTCTATGCAGCTACAGGGGGTCGGCCTGTCTGGTACTCATTGCTGGGCCCTTAGGCTAGCTCATTCCTCTCAAAAAGGAGGGGAAAATATGATGGTTTCATTTTAGACTCAGTTATAAAATGTTCTCATCTGGACAGCAATTTCTTTCCCACAAAGGAATTTGAATGGCAAAAAAGAAAAAAACAACCCAGTGACCCACAATTACAGAATTAGAAGATATTCTGACACTTCTTTCTCAGGATAATAGATGGTTTAATCATCATAATACTTGTTTCTTCACAGTTTTTGAGCATATACATAAAATAAAACCTAGAAAATAAACTTGGACTTCAAGTATCACTATGTACCACCCCTTGGCAAATGTAACTACATCATACAAACTAGGACCCTGAGTCTGCCAATGTTTATGCATCTGAGTAACTTTACACACACAGATAGTGCCATTAATTTAATTGGGACTGTTCATTTGAGTAAAGTTACTCACGTGTGTGTGTGCAGAATCAACCGCTGTCTGACTGCAAGTGACTCTTGTCTATGGACATCTTCATTCATTTATGACACTAAGAACTTGTTAAATGTTATAAATCTGTCATGGGTGCATTCGCTCTCAGGAATAACCATCCATATCAATTATTTAACGTTCGGACCTCCTCTGTACCATTCTCAGAATCAGATGTCACGAAAAGAAAAAGGCAAAACATTATGAAAGACATGGGCAATCTGTACTGAACAGCGACTTGCATTTGAACCAGGAGGGAAAATGAAGATTAAAAGCGTCTATCACCAGATCTTCCTTTTCTTTAGGTAATGATAGCTGCAAGATGCCATTATGAATGATTGCTCAGTTCCATTATACTAGGAGTTACTATAGATGATGCCTTCACACAGTAGCAGTTGTTATCTGTGTCTGTTACTTGTCATCACGTCTACCTAGGGAGAATTGCATTTTATAAGGTGTAATCACTGTAGATTGGCCTTTATTATCTGAGTGAGACATGGTGCTACCCATAACCAAGTAAAATGTGTTCTCTTGTTAACATTTTCCATGTTCAGAAGATCCATCAAAGCTTTCACTTGAGTTTACAATCCTGATCACAACCCAAATGGGACTCAGCCTCTCTCTCTCTCTCTCTCTCACTTCCCTACCCCCACCCCACACACACACCATTTCTAGAGCTCTGAGCCTCACGTTCAAACAGAAAAGGGAGACATTCACTTTTTTTTTACTAAACTTACATCAGATCCTAATATTGCTTGACAGGAAAATGGATAGGGAACTGACAGGCTGTATCAGACCTACAGTCTAGCCCAGTATCCTGTCTCTGGCCAGCACCAGATGCTTCAGAGGAATACCTAAGAACCTCACAGTAGCAGTTGTGAGATAACCTGCTGGCTACATTAGGTCTCATTCTGGTCCCCTTAAATTAGAGATTGTCTTAATCCCTGAAGCACAAGGTTTAAAATCCCTTCCAGAACTAAGGACTCTGTATACTATCCCTATATACCTCCAAATCAGAAAGCCACCATTTGATCACCTGGATTGTGGTCCATGGAGAGATGGCTGGTGATATGGTCCTTGTTTCTAGCTGTTAAATGCCAAAAAGAAGCTGAAAAGACATTAAGGAGGAGATTTTTCAATGGCAGGAAGGGCAGTTCCACACCCACTCCCCCGGGAGTTGAGCGCCTCGCTCTTCTGTGTGTCTTTGAAAATCTCTCCCTAAATACTTTCCTGAAGTGACTGTGCCATGTGAGCAACTGTTGTAGTTGCCAGAGGGATGTTATTCAGCTGCCAGTGAGAGGGGAGATGGCCACAAATGGGAAGGGAGGCTTCCATCTTCTGGCACGTGGTCCACACCAGAAAAAACATGACAATCCATGGTACATCTGACTGCCTGTCGCCCTTATAAGGCCGCCCTCTTTGGACCTGCAAACAGAGCTGCCTTTGGCCTCATCATTGTGCAAGGCCAAGATTTTCAAATGTGACTGGTAATTTTGGGTACCAGACTTGAGACACCTTAAAGGTGGGGCCTGATTCTGGGGGAAAGGGGCCATCCAGCACTTTCTGAACATCAGTCTCAAGCTGAGCACCTGAAATTACAGCCCTGGGTAATAACTGAAACCAACAAAGGAGCAGATACCAAAGAACTCCAGTAAAGGGAAAGTGGGGAAGATGAAATGTACATTGCAGTCTCAGTCCCTGGCCAATTATACTTTTTGCTGTTGCTTTAAATCAATTTTCATTTGAATGGGTTTCAGGCAGCAATGCTCGGGCTGGCTGGCAGGCAAACACTGCTTAGAATATTTTGAATGAACAGCAAGAAAGCAGCCTCCCTTTTGTCTTCAGAAGGAGCCTGCACATAGGGTCACCTAAACTAAGGATGGTGCTTCTTTCCACGCAGCCAAGCTCTGGCCTGGCAGAAATCTCTTTACCCTTGAGCTGTTTATTGAGCAGAATCTTAATTCTGCAAGATCACCATAATAACTGAGCATTTCACTCCAAAAGCTGAATGATGTAAGCACCAGTTGGGGGAGAGGAGAACCACCCCGCAAGCCACAATTTGCAGTAAGAGGCATATACCTTGGTGGGTGATTAGGCAAAGAAATGTATTTACCTCTGTACTCAGCCAAAGGAGGAAAATTGCTTTCAAGAGCGTAAGTGAAGTTTTAATCTCCATGAGCTCATAAAATGAATCACTCTAAGAGGAGAATTGCAGACAGGCTAGTCAGGTAAATCACTTCGCTTCCCAACTTATGAAAGAGACACTGCAGCTCACATGTTTCACTCATATAAACCTGCAACGCTTCATTGCTCAGGCCAGTGGTTCTGGACCCACTGGGGGGCCCCTTGCAGCCCGGTCAGCGCCCAGCTGCAGGACCATGTGACGTGCTCAGGGCCATCCAGGTGATATAGCTACTGTGTGAATAGGGCCCCCGTAACACAGAGAGAGCTGCACACGGGGCCCGCAAGGGTAAACAGGGTGAGAACCACTGGCTGCCTCCAATGCAGGCCACATTAGTGGCCAGTCGCCAACGTCCACCGGGCACATAGGCGGAGAGAGAAATAGAAATAATATTGATCTTTTGTCCTTTCGCACAGCACCCCCCCCCCACCCCAGGCATACGCCACACATGCATTGGCATATATCAGCGTGTGTGTGTGTGTGGACCTATATAGGTACCGGGTTTTTAAAGAATGCCTAAAATAAGCCCCCACATCCTTAGCCGGGCTCCTTCGCACTAAGTGGCTCCTTTGCAAAAGCCCTGCACACTGCGGGGCGGGAACCCGGGCCACTTTCGGGGGCCTGTGTCGGGAATTCGGGGCCTGACCTCCGGCTCTGAATTTTGAAAATCGGGGGCGGGGAGGGGGGAGAGGGAGAGCCGCGGGTGCCTGTGTATTTGCGAAGGAAAGAGGGCTACACAGCCGGCTGCTGGGCGTGTCAGACAGAGGGAGCCTGCCCCCCCCACCCCCCACCCCCCAGCCATACCGGCCGAGACAACGAAAACAAAGGGCCAAGTCCTGTCTTTTCGGCTACCGCCGGTTTGCTCGGGTGGGACAGGCGCCCCTGGCCCCGCGCCCCCGCCTGTCCCTGCCGTGGAAGCGCCCGGACCAGGCTCCTCCTGGGAGCAAGCCCCGCGGCGTTTCAGCACCTTGGGCAGCTCCAGCGCCCGAGGCCGGCCCCAGCCTGGCTGCGGATGTGTGCGCTCATGAACGCCCCCCCCCATTCCCCCCCCCCAGCCCCGGGTCCCCTGTGCGCAGCCCAGCGACCCAGCCCCGCTCCGCGGGGAGCCCAGCTCCCCTTCCCCAGCTGGTCTCTAGCGCGTCACGATTCCAGCAGCTCCCCGATCCGGGGCGCTGATCTGTGCCCCCCCCCCCCCCCCCCAGCACACGCCCGAGGAGCGGAGCAGCCCGTCACGTGGTGGGGTGCCTGGCAGGCTGCCGGGGGTATATATAGCCCTGCCTGTATGGCTCGCCATGGTGTTCATGTGTGAGGGGCTCCTGCCACCTGCTGCGCTTGGGACCAGCGGCTGAATTCTCCAGAGAACCGCAACTGTGAGTCCCCCCCACCAGCCCCCAGCGCTGCGCCCGGGGCGAGGGTCCTTGGCTGGGCTGCAGCCGTCCGGCCTCTCCAAGGGCGATGCGGGGCGCTCCTTGGCTTCCCCTCCGCTCCCGGGGCCCCTAGTCCAGCGGCTGCCGCTCAGCAAACTTGAAAGCCAAGCGGCACCGCTCTCCGGTAGATGTAACTGAAGCTCCGGGGTGGCTGGTACCCCCCTCCCTCCGCCCCCGGGGCAGGGCTGGGGATCGGGCGGGGACAGCTCCTTTGCCCTCGCTGGGGCGAGCCTTAGGAGCCTGGCTTGGAGGGCGGAGAACGGGGGGAGTTTCTATCGCCTCCCTGCCATGTGTTCAGGGGACAGGGCTGGCTCCTGGTAACCGCCCCGGGGATGGATCCGGCGGGGTGGGGTGGGGGGCTCGATGCTGCTCGCCCCGGGAAGGTGCCTGGGTCGGGGCTGCCCGTGGCGGAGGCTTGCAGCGCCCCGCTGGCTTTGGGTAACCCCTCCCGGGCTCTCTTTGCAGGCGCCCAGCCCCAGAAGCAGAAGCTATGAGGATCCGGATGATGTCGGCTGCCTTCGTCCTCGTCCTGCTGTTTCTCCCGTCGGAGAACGGCTCCCCGCTGGAGCTGCCCCGGGGAGCTGCCCCGCAGTTCGCTCTGGTCCCCGGTCCAACCTGGGAACTGTGGCCGAGGAGACCGGGGCTGGGGGCCAAGCCGCCGCTGCCTTCAGCGGGCACAGAAGCGGGGCTCCCCTCTCTCCACAGACTGCTCGGTCCCTGCGAGGCCGGGGGCGCGGAGAGCACCCCGGAGCTGCGAAGGAAGGAGAGGTCGCCCTACTCCTCGCGGCGGAAAGACGGCAGACCCAACTCCCTCGACCTGACCTTCCACCTCCTGCGGGAGTTCCTGGAGATGTCCCGGGAGGAGAGACTGGCCCAGAAAGCCCTGAGCAATCAGATGCTGCTGCAGAACATCGGGAAGTGAGGGCGGGCTGGGGGAGGAGAGAGGGGGCTGGGGGGGAGCGTTTTTAGGTTGAACATTTAAATATATTCTTGTAACAAGTGTCAATGGGGGGATCGGCCCGGCGCCCCTGAATCGCTGGGGCGCGAAGCGGACCCGGAGCGCGGGGCAGGAAGGGAGATAAACACCCCGCTCTTGGGGCAAGGGGAGGGGGACGGCAGGGGGGGGGCGCTGCCAGGTGTGCGTCCCACGGGGCCAGGTGTGTTCTCGCTCCGCTTAGCGCTCCGTCCCGCGCCGCTGTTGCCTGTGTTCTGTGTGTGCCGTGGAGTAAAGCATGGCAATGCCCGAGCTCGCAATAAACTCTATTTTAACAAGCCTGCTTCTCTTAACGCCCGCCGGCCCCTTCCTGGCCCCGGCTGGAGCCTCCGGGCTGGCGCTACCCGGCCTGCTGCAGGCACGATGCCAGGGGGATGGCCGGGTTCTCACAGCGGCGCCCTGATGGGCTGGGGATGCACGGAGGGGGGGCGCCCCAGAGCTGCCCCCCCCCCCCAGGAGGTCAAAGACCGAGGGAGGCCTTTTCCCAGAGGGACAGGTTCGAACCTGCTACAGGGGCTGGATTTACACAAACTTGTTTGTTGGCATTTCGGACCCGGCTTGACTCCGGTGTTCCATTGGCTCCACACGACGCTTGTTCAGAACCAGAGTGAGACGAGTCCCCGAATGCATCCCAAGCAGGCAGCACTGGCCGGGGCACGGATGCCCCTGGGTCCCGTTGGCAAGCTGGGACTCAAAGGGCTTTTCAATCAGCATCTTATTCCATCTGATCCCCCTGAGCTTTCAGGTAAAATCCTGGAGGTGATGCCAGAGGCTCATGCCTTGCTGAAACCCAGGGGCTGCCAGCAAAGCCACCTTACAGTGGCAACATATCTTCCCTCCCCTCCATGCCAATTTCTCCAACCCCGGGGTGTCTAAAGTGCAGGAGCAAATGCAACCAGCAGACGCCTGGAGCCCTTCACTTTCTGTTCCCTCACTGTGCAGAATCAAGACAGCTGCAGCAATCCCTATTCACCGCCCCAGGCACAGATACAAGCAGACACTAGGTGAGCGTGCGGACGCTTTGGGTTTTATTTATTTACAGGTACATTTCTTTGCGCATTCTATGCAGCCCTGGGGCTCCCGGTTAGTGACCATCCTGGCCTTTGCTATTCTAAATGTAGGCAGCCCTGCTCCTAGCAGTCCCATGCCACCTTTCCACTTGCTCCCATGATTCAGTCTAGCCGCCTTATCTTCTTCCAAACAAACATCCAGATGGGTGGACGGGGGGTTTCAGATCAGAAAATTTCACCAGGAAAACAAGAAACTATAACTCCGGTGGTTCTCAGCTGTTGAGCTTGGAAGGTGGACCTGGGAGAAAAACCATTACAATCGTGTTAGATGTCTGACCTGGTTTCTCTAGTGTCTGAATGAAAGACATTCACGCCGTAACATCAGTGTCCACAGAGTACATTTCACTGAAATGGAGTTCAATGCTTAAAAAAACACACACACACACACACCAGTACGGGGTGTCTAACACCCTTTTAGTCTTCCAGACACTCCTGCTACACCAGGGCTCTGAAATGCAGGGAGGAAGACTGTGCATGGCAGAGGCAGACACACTAAATAGCTAAGGATTTTACATGGCTTTCCCAGGACATATTTAATGAGGATTTTACATTTTTGCACATTTCCCTCCAAAGACTTCTTGATGGAGAGCACACATGGCAGATGTTTGGAGGTCAGAAGGGGCCCTTCTGATTGGCTAGTCTGATCTCCTGCACTACAGGCCGAGAACTTCAATACAAATTAGAAACAAAAGGCCGGACTTTCAGCTGTGCTGAGCGCCTACAGCTTGCGCCGGATTTGTAGGTGTTCGGTGCCTCTGAATATCAGGATGCTAATGTATCAGTTACTATTACTGAGGTAAGAAACCAGCGCAAGTTATCCAGTGTCTCTCTGCCCAGTCTCAGCCAAGGGTGGCTCTACCTATGAAAATGAAAAAGGAGGGCAAGGGATTGGGGGCAATGGGGAATTGCCCACCCCAGGAAGCAGAAGGAGCCCTGCACCCACCTTGTCTTCATCTTGACATCACAGAGCAGGACTGAAGTTACTCCCAAATGGAGCTTCACTGCTTTCTTCACTCTTCCCATCCACCACAGAGGGGTCCTGGAGAAGCAGGAAGGAGCATATATTCAGTGCCGCTCCAGAGAGCAGGGGCAAGCTCCTCATTTCATCCCTTGTAACTCTCTAACCTGCTCTCTAACAGAGGGAGAGGGAAGGAGGAAGCTCAGTAACCATCTGTGGTTCAGGGATTATACCTGGCTTGAAACGCCACACTCCCATCCCCAGAGCAGACACATGGCCACTGAGTTCCAAAGGCATGTCAGGATGATCACCCAGGCCGGCACTGAAAGGGAGAAAGCTCCAGCCTGGTGGAGAATCTCTCACGCACACTCTCTCACACACACAATGCTGTGATCAGATGGGAATGCAGGCAAAGGAATGGGGATGCACAACAAACAGAAAGTGGTGTCCTCTGTGTATAAACATAGAAGCCGGCAAGGCAGGTACTAGTCCATAGGCTCCTGTCAATACTGTAAGCTCCTTGGGGCTCTTTGTTCTATGTTTGTACAGCAGCACCTAGCACAAGGAGGTTGTGGTCTATAAGTAGGGCTCCTAAGCGCTGGGGTAATACAATCAATCAATCATAATATACCATATTCCCCAGGCCTCTGAACTGCCCTTCGTTGTGAGACAGCTCTCTCATTCCAACACCAAAGCCCCCTAAGTCTCATAGAGATGTGAAGACCCCTCTCGTTGATTGCTGAAAATTGCTTACAGCAGCATCAAAGAGGCCTTTAGAAATCTCACCCCTTTTTCAGTTTTCTGCAGGAATCATTCTGATGGCGACCTTCATTGTGTGTCTGTGCCACATTGTGTCCTACCCTCCTCTGGCCTCAGCTGGCTGAAAGATGGAGTGCTTCCCTCTGACCCTCTGTTCTTAGAGAACAGGGCACTGAGATGACCCTGAGCAGTGGTTCTCAACTGTATCCATATCGCCCCCTCCGCTCAGCTGGGATCTAAACAACCCCAGGCTGATAGTTCATGGTGGAATGGACTTTCAGAGGGGTTGGGGGCTTAATCTGTGAGTGCAAGTGCAGTAACTTGGTGCAAATCCATCCAAATAGTGATTTGCATGAGCAATTACCTGGTGCATGCACAGGCCCCCGTCTGAAAATCTGTCCTCTCAGTGCTTCATTATCTCCTTAACAGAAGGGGAAACTCGCACCCATCTCTGCAAGAGCCTTTGAGATGAAAGGCACTGCACAAGTGCAGAGCATCATTAGATCACTACAATCCTTCAGAAAGAGGAGGACGGGAACAGAGTCTCTAAAAATACATTTAGTTGGAGCAGGCAAGGGCAGTTCAGGTTCCCCAGCCTAGAAGGGAAAAAGCTTGATCATGGCCGAAGCAGCAGCTCGCTTTGCAGGGCTAATGCACGTGGGTTATTCTGGGGTATTTTTTTAAAAGTACATTTTTCCTCATCTGTAAAATACAATGTAGGAAATACCTAAACCCTGCTATTTCTACTGGGGACGGGAAGAATGGTTTCATGGTTAAAACAGGGCCATTTATGCACAGTCTGTGCTGGCAAAGAAGTTGCTGGTGATATTAACCCTTCACATGAGTGCACCTCAAGTTCTTAACAGCTGTAGGTGAATAGTTACATAGACTCTGGTCCAGTATCTCTCCGTTGAGAGACGGATGAAAAGGGAGCCAGTGGCTGCTTCCCTGGTCCTGGATGGGGTTCTCTTTGAACAGGCTGATCTTCAGAAAGACCTGAAGTGTAATAACCATACCAAAGTGAACAGAGGTTCTCCAAATACATTAAGAGCAAGAGAAAGATGAAGGAAAGCGTAGGTCCTGGAGTACTGTATTCAGATCTGGGTGCCACTCTTTAAGAAAGATATGGACAAATTGGAAAGAGTCCAGAGGAGAGCTATAAAATGATAGAGAAGCTGACTTATAAGGAAAGGTTAACAAATCTGGGGATGTTTCATCTTGAGAAAGGAAAGCTGAGGGGAGATCTGATAGTCTTCAAATATGTTCAGGGCTGTTAGAAAGAAAACAGTGATCAATTGTTCTCAGTGTCCATTGATGGTAGGACAAGAAGGAATGGACTTAATCTGCAGCAAGGGAAAATTAGGAAGTTTACCTAACTATAAGAAAAGGAGGACTTGTGGCACCTTAGAGACTAACCAATTTATCTGAGCATAAGCTTTGGTGAGCTACAGCTCACTTCTTCGGATGCAACTGTAGCTCAGGAAAGCTTATGCTCAAATAAATTGGTTAGTCTCTAAGGTGCCACAAGTCCTCCTCTTCTTTTTGCGAATACAGACTAACACGGCTGTTACTCTGAAACCTAACTATAAGGATAGTTAAGCTCCGGAATAGGCTTCCAAGGGACCCCATCATTGGAGGTTTTTAAGACCCAGGTTGGACAGAGACTTGTCAGGGATAACTCGATCCTGTCTCAGTGCAGGGGGGTGGACTTGATGACTTCTTGAGGTCCCTTCAAGCCCTACTTTTCCATAACTCTATTATTCTAACAGTCAGAGGATTGTTTCTGGCATTTGGAGAACTCTGCCTGCAGAAGTGCCAAGTGTGAAAACAGGGAAGACTAATATATGAAAGGTGACCAGCGATGGGGGGCGATTCCCGTGCACCAGTGGGCATTCTGTTCCCTTCTCCCTTCTGCAGGGATTTATTGCTGCCGCTTGGCCAGCAGCATTGTCTCCTCTGGATCTAAAGGACACAAGTTACACCAGGTTTTGGAGTCAGCCGCACCACAGCTGCTGCAGGGCAGCGGTAGGGGGGTGCTGAACTGGTCTCAGAGCCTTCCATGGGTAAGGCATTGAATCAAGATCCCACTCACCCATCCCTGTTGACTATCCAGAAATGAAAGATTCCAGAACATTTCCTGAATAAT